GTCACAGTCTCCTGGTTTCTAGCCTGGTGCCTTAACCACTAGACCAAACTGGCTTTCTCTCTCTTTTTTTATTTGTTTGATAATGATTAATATTAAAGTATTTAGCTATTTGATTGTTTTGATTATTAGCTTTATTGTATCTTTCCCAACCAGATGCTATCTGAACATGCTGAACTTTAACTCCCATGACTTTACATTAACGAGGCCCTTATTTCAGTTACTATTAGGCTTTATTTCAGAACTGACCATTCTGGTCCAGCCTAAAGAAGCAAATATCTATTGTTTTTAACTAAAGCAAAATGTCAGAGCTGGTTTGGAGGATTAGTTTACACAAAACAGCCCATAAATTACTAAGAAAGCAAAAGAATATTTCACAATTTGTCCAGAATGTGCATATTTAAATATCCAGATGTTTTTAACAAGGAGAAATTTAGGATGTTTATATGTTCTTAAGTTGCCACAATTTTACCTAAAGTAGATTTTAGAGCAACTTCTGTTAAAGAAAATGGGTTGAGAAATTAAGAAAAATGCTGAAAGAATTTCATTCAGATTATCATGTTTTTCTCAGAGGTTCTAAAAGTCCTCCTGCTAGCAATAGCAATGATGATGAGGACCAGCGAATAATCAGTGTTGCTTCTTCGGTGTTTCTCTGGTGTTCCAGAGACCACATTTCAAGGACTGCAACAGTCTTTCTAAAAGAGTTGAGTGGAGAAACAGACCATTAGACAGGCTGGCTCCATTTGTAGATAGCTATTGTGGCTGATCAGCTTCTGTAGCACAATCATTTTTTATAGCATTGGGAGTCCTTCACTCAGAACTAGGCAATATTAGGGCTATGTAAAACATCTGAAAGAAGTTTGTTAACCTGATGAAGCATCTCTTACAGCATCAGAGCAGCCATATATTTTGCAAAACTCACACAGCTATTTCAAAAGATGTTTCCAGCCGCTTTGCTGGTGATCCAGCTGGAAGTGTGAATGTCTACACAAATAGAAAACTATGGACAATGCAAAGCCTTCAGAGGATGGGGCTTCTTTAATGCTATAAACGGAGTGTTTCACTTACACTGATGCACTTTGTGAAACCATTCTTTCAAATATATTGCACACCAATATATTACTGGCATTCTTTCATGTGAGGTGGGAAATCTGCCACCAAAATGCCATTTGGGTGGCCATACTATAATGTGTAGACTAGCCAGTGATGAAATGTAATCAAGAAGAGAAAAGTTACTGTTCACTTTCAATTCTATGGCTGTTGAGATTAAAAGATGCAAAATGAAGAGTGTCTGATTGTGAGTAATAATTTCTACCTGCTTCATACCTTCATTCTGAAATGAGTTAATTAAGATTTTTTTTCCAGGACAAAAAATTAGGATAATTTAAAAGACCTCAAAGGCAGATTCTCACTTCGAAGCGGGAAAAACTTTCATTTTTATTTTGAATTCGCAGTAAGGTTTTTGTACAATAAAAAGCAACAATTCTTGATAGTCATGTCAATAAATCTCATATTATCAAATCACTAAGGCAATATAATTTTTAAAAAGCGGTCTTTTTTCTGTTTGCAGAGATGACAGATTTGGCAAAATGCAGCATTTATGTATTTTCTAAATTTAAATCTCAGTGTTCTTCCAAGAAACTCAAAACCAGTCTTCCCCAGTTTAGCATTCTCCATGTTCTGGGCTGTAATTCCTATTGCATGCTGCTATGGATAATGGATACTGCTCCAACAAATCCTAGGGGTGGAGCTTGTTACTAGTTCTAAGCTTTTCTGGAAAACTAAACACCAGGATCCCCCTACCTCTTTGCTGAGTGTGTGGTATATGGAGGTCCAGAAGTATGAATTCAACAACCTGGCATTCACCCACATTTTGTACTTGACTCTGGATTCCATCTATCTGCTTGGATGGGAGACAAAAGGGATGGAAACCCCATTAGTTGGGAAGGAAAAAGATTGGAGGCAGAGTTTTCAGAAATGTGGTCTGGAGATGGCTTTAGGTTTAGTGATAAAGGGCAGCCAGGAGATGAAGGCTTGAGGGAGTGGAGGTATATGGAATGAGAGGGAACTAGCAGTGATAGCAAGGAGAAGAAAGCAACAGAGAAGAAACTGGAAAATAGCCTTGTTGAATGAAAGGAAGGAGCCTGATAGATGGTTCGTGATCATAGAGGAGGTGAATGAAGGTTAAACGGAAGAGAGAAGACTGAGGATCAATACAGAATTATGTGGTCACTGGTAGAAGGGAGTCTGAAGAACCCAGTGATTTCCTTCATTGCCATAAGAAAAGGAGGTGGTATTGGTGGAGGTAAATTGAGCCACTGGACACCCTATCATGGGATGTTCCAGGGTTTGGCCCACATGCTCTTTAACACTTATGTGAAGCTGCTAGGGGAGTTCATCTATTGACTTGGAGCAAGGTCTCAGTTATACATCTCCCCCTTAGGCCAAACAAGAGATGTAGGAGAAGTTTTCACTCCAGACCTGGAGGCTTTGAAGGACTGAATGGGGTAGAATAGACTCTAACTGAATCCCAAGAAGATGGAGTTGTTGGGACGAAGGCCTTCAGGTACTGTGGATGTTCCATCTGTTGCTCTTAGTGGGGCTCCATTCCCCCTTAGGAGCAGGTGCACAATCTAAGAATGCTCCTATATACATAACTTTTGCTAAAGCAGATGGTGGAAGCCATGGTTAGGGACATGTTTATCCAGGTTTTGCTATTCTGCCAGTTGTGGCCTTTCCTGGACCAAGAGGCACTAGATGCTGTGACTTATGCCCTTGTTACCCTCTGGTTAAATACCACAGTATGCGCTACTTGAGAGTGCCCTTGAAAATAATCCAGAAGTAACAGCTAGCACAAAAGGTGGTTGCTGATCTGTGGACAAGTGCCAACTTATTTAACATAACACCTTCACTGGGAGGTGAACTAGTTGCCAGCAAAGTTCCAGGCCAAGTTCAGATTGCTGGTTTTTACCAATAAAGCTTGTATGGCTTGGGTCTTCATTACCTTTGGAACCATCTGCTTGCGCAAGGGAATCCTTGTAGGTCCCCACTCCCTGAGAGACCTGGATGCTTGGAGAATGGCATCTTGACAGCAATCCCCTCAGCTTGCCCCCTGAGCTTAGGATGACCCCCTCCCTGCTGATAGGTGGGAAGGCTGCTAAAATGGTATTCTTCTGAAGGGGCTTTGGGGAGGAAAATAGAGTAGTGAATTTCAGTAGGTATTTTATTAATTATTATGTTTACATTTTTATACTGTTAAGCTGCTTAGAAACATGTGAGGCATACACGACTGTAAATCTGGAGGGCACCACATTGAGGAATGTTGCTCCTGACAACATGTATAATTTTTTTTGTCTCATTATTATCCCCACTATCGAGGTTAATGTATCTACTCTCCTCAGGGCACTGAGAGTATTGAATCCGGTTCTGTGTCAGTCCTATGTCAACACAAATTATTACACAATGCTGAGTTTCTCGGTGTCTCACAAACTGACATTTGGAATTTATTTGGGGACAGAAGATTCTCCATTTTAAAAAGATGTTTCTTTAAATATGCCTCCTTTCTTAGTGATGTACACTTGAAAAAAAAAAGCACCTTGCCTTATTGAAAAGATTTGTGTTAGCTTAATTGCCACTAGAATAATAAATGCAAAAGGGTGTAAAATGAGCAATGTACTCTACGTGGCCGGAATTGAAGAGCAAGATGTATGGAGGCAGGTTATCATATGATCAAAAAGAATACACTGAACTGCTTATACCTGTTCTTTCAGATAAAATGAATGCTTCAATGCAATCTTGAAATGGGTATGTAGAATAAATTCCTAGAGGACCAAACAAGACATGATGACTCATGAATTGAGCAACAAAGAAAAACAGTAATACTTTTAAATAATAGTATGTGGGGATTTTCTTGTGTTACTTTCCCAAATCATTTGAATAGAAATACTGGATTAGCTAACCTTGTGTCAGGTCTATTAGATAAACTCTCCAACTGCTCCTGACTGAAGTATGTATAGCTGGGAGTGAAAGCAGATGGTTTCTATTTAAGGTTTTGTGAAATGGAAAAGCATTTGTTAAACAGTAAGGGGATAACAAGCAAAAGTTTCACAGCTTTATCTTTTCACAGGGAGCTTCATCCCAATAGGAAATCTTTTCAGCCAAACATCATCAGCTGGACTACACATGGTAAGAAGTAGTATTTTACCTCCTTTCTGCAGAAAGAAAAATTAAATTTTACAAAAATAATCTTCAAACATTACCATTGTACAAAAGATTTCTTCCACTTGCCTTCAATTATAATGACATCCTTCCAGAAAAGCTGTCTGCTTTCCATAATAACAAAACCAAAGAATGAAAGATAAAATATTATCTCTCCCTGTAATTCATTTTAATTAGATAGCCTGTGATTGCAAATTCTCCATCTTCACTTTAAAACAAAATACAGAGTTATGCAGAAGATGGCAAAAAGGATAAATCTAGAGCTCAAACTGGGATGTTGATTTCTGTTTCAGATGAGGAAGATAATTTAATGTTTGCTAATTTATTAACTTAAGCACGACTGCTGTTGTTTATACTATGTGGACTGACATGCTGTTAGTCTTTGGAGAAACTGTAAGGAGGCTGACAAAAGAAGGAAACATTCATGTTCTTTTGCAACAGGTTATCACATCATCCCCAAATTTTTAGATTTCTTCTGTTGAATTATCTCACCTGAAAAGCAAAATGAAAATGTGGATGGTCTTTGAAAGTGCTGGGAAACTTCATTATCTCCCATTACATACCATTGCCATGAGACATTCAAACTTATAAAGAACGCTTTAGCTTCCTATGTGTTGACAGATTGTAGCAATCTTCAACAACCATGGGAAGAAGTCTGGGTAGTGTGGTGAGACCTTGCTTTCACCCATTATGCATGATCCAGCTCTACATTTCTGTGGCATATTCCCTATTTCCTAGCTGGGTGCTGTAGAATGGCAGCTAAGATTATCTCCCTGGACCATCAGTTTTTCTTTTGGTATATTGCCATTTCCTGCTTTGCAAACCTGATTTACAATCTCTATTCTCCTAGACTTGACTAGAGATTTTTAAAAGTGGTGGGTTTATAACTGAGTTCTCTATGGATGTTTCTGTTAAGCAGCTTGTTTTTTAGGTATAGGTAGGTAGGGTATAAAAAAGGTAAGATTATTGTCACAAGAATGATACGCAAGCATGACAGTAGTTTAATGTTACTATCTGGGTTGGGCATTAAAAATAAAAAGGGGAATGGAAAAGAAAAACACAACTTAGTTTTTAAAGAAGTATCTGTCTGTGGTTTAAAACCTGGCTTCTCTAGAAGGGAGCTTAATAAAAGAGGTCCGGGCAGAAAAATAGTATAAGGAAATAAAACAACCTAGCAGGAAGGAAATAAAAACATGACATTTCTAGATGAACATCCCTATTCTAACTATCTAGAGGTAGTGGCATCTGGGGTTTTTTTGGTGGGGGGATTGTATGAAAACAGAAGAGATGGCAGTTGCAGCAGTTCAGATTGTCTTTTCATGGTTGCTTTTCTTCAAGTTGGGCAGCCTGACAAATTTCTAAAATTAATTGATTAATTAAGCCTCCCCTGGATGTCGACTGCCATAGTATTCCTTTGCCAGCCAGAAATACCATAGATACTGTGTCATATTTAATTCTCTTGAGTATCTGTGTTTGTCCCTGACTTTATCCTTCACATAATCCTTTCTATAAATAAATGGTTGTAGCTGAAAACTAGTGTGTACATATACAATGCTTAATTGACCTTCTGGGGTCCTGGATTAAAGCATGGTTTAAATTTATAAACTGTTTTTCCATGAAATTGTTCTGCATGGGCTATAGTGATCCATGGAATTGTAGGGCAACAGTTCTTTTCAGGTACAACAGCATAGAAATCCATTATGCTATTTATTTTTTTTCCTTTTAATTGAAGTGGTCAGATTTTTCCTTTAATTGTATGCAAATTAACATCTTTTAGTCAAAAGGATGTTTTCTGATTAAAGAAAAACTGGTTGAAATAGTTGTACAGTCTGACTAAGCTGCTGAATTATTTAATCTGCTTTTCAATTCATCTTTTTTAAAAATGAAATTCCTATAGGCTTTGTTGCAGCAGCTGTGTTTGCATTTCGTGTATGTATGTTTGTACATTACAGATTTCAATAAAGTACAGTCTGGCACAGCTTTTCCTCTAGGCAGATTATAGATTCACATGCTCATTAAATCTTTGAAAGACTATAATCAAATAAGGATCATAGTTATCTGAAAACTCAGGAAAGCAGTAGTAGTAACACTGTTAGTAATTTAATTATTCATATTATATAAGAGCTAGAATAAAACCAGAGTTTTGTTAATTCTTACATTTGAATTACTGCTGCTTTTTCTTCTTTCCATTCCCAGTTGGGCCTGATTCAATATAAACCTAAGGCTTCTGATGCAGTAAAGGAAAGAGGTCTTCATTCTCATGCAGTCCTCTGTGCTTCCCTTTCCCATACGCTCAGAATATTAAGGAGCCTTTTAGAATAGAGACATTGGCAGAGGCAAGGGACAATCAGTGTTGTGTGCATTGCTGCACTTTTACGAACAGGAGCATTCTGAGCAGAATTCTATTTAGGAAATACCACGTTCCACAGTATTTTGCATCAAACCTCTTCTTCACAACCTGGATCTTTTTTTCACTGCATTATTCAGCATTAAATATAACCTTAATCAATTCAGGTGACATTTAAAGAATTCCCATGTCAAGTTACAGGCAGTCCTCGCTTAACAACCACAATTGGGACCAAAATTTAGGTTGCTAAGTGATGTAGTCATTAAGCAAATCATCATGTGACCAGATCTGATTTTATGACCATTTTTGCAGCGGTCGTTAAGAGAATCATGTGATTCCCCTTTGATTTTGCTTGCCGCAAGCCAACTGGGAAGATTGCAAACAGCGATCACATGACCCCAGGACACTGCAACCATTGTAAGTGTGAGCTGGTTGCCAGGTGACCAGATCGTGATCACATGACTGTGGGGGCACTGCAACGGTTGTAACTTCAGGCACCGGTTGTAAGTCACTTTTTTAGCACCATCATAACTTCGAACAGTTGCTAAATGAATGGTCGTTAAGTGAGAACTACCTGTATTTCATTAACTAAAGTGGTGACAGTAAGCATGTTCGTATGACATGCTAAGCCATGTTGAGAACTAACCATGGTAACCCTCTTATCCATCAGTTTGGAACCAGATGTCATGACATACTGTGATTTTCTGGTTTATCCACAGTGTAGCTATTGTTTCAAACAGTTCAGTTTGCTGAGTAACAGGGAAGCTGCAACATAGGTAACTATTAAGCCATTTTTGTCAGGATTATATCCAGAGGAGCGACATCTTAGCACTTTTAGGTATATTAACTGATGCCATTTTATATTCCTGAAGCAAAGAGACTTGGAGTTGTCAATAATGGCTGGTCCCAGTAACTAGGGCAGCTCTGAGTTCCTCTAGTCCCAGCTCAGATCACCGGGTGAGTCATTTACATGTAGTTCACATCAGACTGCATAAGGTATGTTGTGCAAATGCATTCAGTAATAAACATAGGTGGAATTACACATTATTGTTTCATGTTGAGTTCAGCCCTCCCTTGCCCCAGTAATGTTTTGTTCAGTTGACTAAATGCCCTCAAGAAAAAAGAAGGAACAATTTAACATCAGCAATTACATATAGTTCCATCTAGATCTTCAGGCACATTTTTTGCCATCTCCAAACCAGAAAAAATAGAACTTTTATTAGGCCAGTTTGGAACTTACAATATTGCAATTTTTGTATTTCCAAAAATCAGGATAGATAATAAAGGAAAAGAAAGAAAGTGGGGGTAAGAGTAGCTGATTTTGAATTGTGTACTTTGAATTTTTTCACACTTGTAGTAAATTGAATGTCTTCCATTGAATTTTCTCCCTTAAAAATTGCCACATAATTAACTTTTCATCACACTGTACATTTAGTGATATATGCAGTCCCATGGACTTGTCCATTATTGGTGAAACTTCTCCCATTCAAATCAGTGGAAATAGTAAAGGCAAGGCTTTTGTCAGGATGAGTTTCCAGATTTTCTGTCCCTTCCAAAATTAAAAGAAAGTTCTTACTTGAAAGCCTGAAGAGACTGAACTTGGCAGGATATGTGCAGATTAATCATATTCAACTCCGTCCATACCTGAAAAATATACTTCCTGTCAAAGGGTTTGCCACAGAACCCATCTAAATGATCCAAAAGTCTGCATACTGTAATACAAGAAGCAAGCAAGGCTTATAGTGGGTTGGGGTAGATCAACAAAAAACCAGCATGCATGTAAGAAAAATTACCAGTAAGGAATTTGCAAAAGAAAGCTTTAGTGAAGTTTATTCCAGAAATTTGGTGTTGTACAACATACCATAATTTGCTTTGACAATTGGCTTGATGTAAAGACTGGGAAATAAAAATATAAATTACCTATCATGATATCAGTTACAAAAGAAACTTTTTGTGTAGCATTGTCAGTAACATACATACTGGCATCTTAGTGAAAACAATGTAATGCTGAAAGCCGATTTTTATTGTTTTTTGTTTACATTAGGTGTAGACCAAGTTGTTCCCCAAAATATATCTTCCAGATATGTTGGACTTCAATTCTTGTAATTCCCAACTGAAGGGAATTTCTACTAAACCATTTTCATTCATTATGATTTCCTATTCCCTACACCTCTCCCAAAATCTTGCAAATCACTTATCAGAGGCTATTTCTGCAGTGTGTGACATTTTCATACAAATTTCTCCAAAAAGCTATAAGGGAGATTTTTTTTTTTTAACTTCAGCCTCAAACTTTAAAGACTTCCCTTGCATAAAACCACAAAATGTGGAAATGGCAAGCACCAGCCCGCTGCATCCATTCAAAATGGATTGTACTTTTCACCCAATTCTAACAAAAATATTTTAAAAAATGATATAACTATTTGTTCATTTTCTATCCTATGGAGAACAGATCCCTTGCCATTGATTATGGTGGATGAGACTTATGGGAATTGAAGTCCAGAACATCCAGAGGGTATCAGGCTGCCCATCCCTACCCATTGGGCAAGTGTATGAAGGTTTAAATGTGTGAAGCAAAGCTCCACATAAGATACAAGGTGAAGGGAATTCTGCTCAATGTAGCGTAAGATAAAGTGATCCATATTCAAAGTGCCATGCAAATCTATGTGTGTCTTCTGTATCCTCTAATAAAAGATAATGTTTGAGATTTGAAGCAGATCTTAATCCTTTAAAATGGAGTCCATACTTCTTCCCGAATGTAACATTGAGCAGGAAAGCACATATTCCTTTAAGAGGAAGCCCTTTGGAGCCACATTTTAATAACCCTTTAATACAACATCTGGGTGCATTCAAAATATCCCAAGGCATGTTGAAGTTTTTAATCTATTATTTCCTAAAGCTTACCTCAGCTCAGGGTTGTTTGATGAAGCTTTTTGGAGAGCTCATAACTATCATCTTTTTAAAAGAATTATAACGAGAATAGCAGTAATCATCATCACATTGACTCATCCCAGAGTAACAGGAGTCACTCCTTCCCTTTGGGTAAAATTCACTGCCTTTGCAGTGTTGCTATTCTACAAATCTTCACTTTATGGAAAGAGCAAAGAAGAGGCTCTAACTTTCTTGTCATGGCCGCTTTGAGATGATAATATGGTAAATCAGATGGTTCTGTGGTCTAGGGCCGATCTAGATTTATTGTGACAAATCTGTGTGCTTGCTTACACCTGAAACCAGTTTTTGTTTAGAAATGAAGAAGGGGTAACTGTGGAGCAAAAATATTGTGTAATTTTTTTCCTATTGTTTCCAATACTAGAGTCTAAGTGAGGGTATTTATTTGCCACATTTGTAGGCCATCCACTCTGGGAGTCATAGAGGCTAAAAACATAAAGAATGTTTTTCAAACAACAGTCAAAACTATAAAAAAGAGAAAAGATGGCTGAACAGGGAAACAGGAAACATTAAATCAGGAAAAACAATACACAGTGTCCTAGCCCAATGCCTGGAGAATGAGCTGGGTCTTTAAGACTCATCTAAAGGAGAGCAGGATCAGGGTTATTCTAATCTCTGGGGCTATTCCACAGGGCAGATGCCATGACAGAGAAGGCACACCTCCTGGTCCCATTAGATGGCATTCCTTGATAAATGGAACCTGAAGCCTGCCAATTCTGTCAGATCTTATAAGACTGGCAGGCATTACCGGAGAAAGAAGGTTCCTTAAATAGCAAGGCCTTGTGCCATGAAAGCTTTATAGATTGCAATCATTAAATGATTTGGTGGAAGTTAGTGACAAGGAGGTAAACTGTAGGCAGGATGCTGTTAATACTCTTGACCCCATTTACATGCATAGGTTGATACATAGATATCATCTAGACAACATGCATAGATACAAGAATGATCTTTTAGTAATTTGTCAATGTTAAATAATTTTTTATAGAACACTGACTTTATAGCTTCATCATATGCCAAAGGAGATGTTAATTCAGTCTCTGTCCAGGAAACAGTAAGTGCTTTGCATTTTTAAAATCTCTTTATTGTGTTGTATATTGATTTTTCAGTTCTTTAGCTTGAACACTTTAATTAATTATCCTAAAGTGCTTTTAGACATATATTGACCAGATCATTCCAAATCAAGATCACATGTTCTTTTACATTTTTTGGGCCATGATATCACTGATTATTTTGTCAAGACCAAGAGGTAAATATCACTTTTTTAAAACTTTAGCCAAGAAGCAAACAAGTCCTGTGACTTGTATTGAACATTATAGAAGTGTATAAATGTTGGGTGTTATACTACCAAATAGTTTTTAATATTTTAAAAGAAGATTTATCAGATTATACTAAATTGTATAATTGTACTATAAAAGTAGTGATCCACATTTCCAAATTCATTATATTGACTGATATCCAAAGTGTGCATTCTTTGAATGGAAGAAGCCTGCTAATGGAAGGCGTGTTCCTGAATGGAGCAAAAATCTTTGACATTTATCCATTAGAAATAATGGCAACTTTTGTATTACTCAGCAGTTCATAAAACAAGCAGATAGTAATTTTTTTTTTTCAAAAGGCTGATTCTCTTATTTTATATAAATAATTGAGAATAAGTATCTAATCATTATGGTAATGTCTTATAAGCCCTGATGGGTGGAGACTAATCTGTATAGGTGGCCTGATTGAATATCTGTTGAAATAATTATTCATTTTTGTTTCAAGTACTTCATTAGGTTTTCTCAGTACTTAGTCATTTAAATGTGTGTAAGCTTGCAAAGATATGGTAACATTGGCCTTCTCTGCATAAGGGACTACTCTGACAATTTATGTATAAGTTGATCCATTGGTGATCCTACAAGAAGTTGGTAGGGTGGGGGATTGTTTGTTTGTTTGTTTTAGTTGCTTCTCAAACAGATGTATCTTTCCTGCAGTGAGATAATAAGGAAATCAAGCACACACATTAGTTTAAGCTTGTAGGTACCTTCAAACAAATCAGAATTTTAATCAGTACTTGTTTAAATTGAGCTAAAATATCTGAAGGCACTAAGATATGCAACCCACTATAATGGAATATATCTACTGGACATATCTACTATATAATATTTGCAATTGCTTTAAGTAGTTACAACTAATTTCTAAACAAGTGTGCTGTGTAAGTAAACCATATATATTACATGAAAAATCATTGCTTAATCCTTATTTTATTAAAAACATATTTTTTCTGAATCATGTAATGTTACAATAGAAGAGAATATATGTAGCTTAGGGTTGAACTGTGGAGTCCTTGGCGCTCTCTCTCTCTCAGCACTGATGATGTTCCCTAGTTGGGTAATGAAACGTCTGCAAGCAAACAACCAAGCTCAGAGAGCACCAAGGACTCCACCATTTAGAGTTAATTAGGAACCATCGTTCATTGTTTTTTGCCAATAATTAACAGCAACTGTGGAGTCCTTGGCGCTCTCTCTCTCTCAGCACTGATGATGTTCCCTAGTTGGGTAATGAAACGTCTGCAAGCAAACAACCAAGCTCAGAGAGCACCAAGGACTCCACCATTTAGAGTTAATTAGGAACCATCGTTCATTGTTTTTTGCCAATAATTAACAGCATTTTAGATGCTGAATGTTTTTTTAAAAATCAGTTAATGTTCTGCTCATTTAGCATAGATGCAAAATGAACACTCAGTCCCTGGTCTCTCTAGTTAGAAGGCTGAGGATAAATTAGAAAGCTGAAGAATTCCTTGCCCATGAAGTTGGTAGAAAAGCAAAAGAAGAATTAGTCTTCCTGGTTTAAGGCAATTTCCTATATCATTGGGAGCTCCCCTGTGAAATTATTAGTGGATGTGAAATGATCAGCCTCTCCATCATTAATTCATTTTATTGTGCAAGCTACAGCTGCAGAGTATTGTGAAGCTACTTCGTACATCACTCTCAAACCTAATATGGTTTGCTTAGTTTTGGCTTATTATGTACATTTAGCCTTATTTATTTATTTATTTATTTATTTATTTATTTATTTATTTTTAAGATTTATAAGGCCACCCAATTCAAACAGTGTGACTCTGAGTGGCATACAGCATAAGCACACAGTAAATCAAAAAGAAGAAAAAACAAATAAAACCATGTAACATTAACAGACAATACCTAAATTCAAAATATAAAATGCAAAATTATAAACCATCATTTTCCTTAGTGCAAATCTAGCCATTTGTGGTCATGCAGTAAACTTTTATTAAATAAATGAAGGTTTGGCCAAATGAGAATCCAGTCTTTGTTTTGTATGGTGTCCATTTGCCATACATTTCATTTTGCCTAGAACAGACAAACAATGGTCTGCCCACTCACTGTGTGAATACTTTCCTTCAGCAATAAAGCAGTGAGCAGCACCAGAAATCAGCACTGGGCATGAGAAAACAGAAAGGATACAAAGTGCATTTCAGGAAACTTTGTCTCCTACTTCAATTTTTTAGAAGAGAAGTAGCCATAGATTTCACCATAATGCTTCCATCCTAAGCATATTTTCTGTGAAGGAAATCCTGTTCACTTGAATGGAATGAAGAAAACAGGTTTAGTATCGCACTCTTCTTTTAATTCCTAATAACTTTTCTATGGAAAAAAAAGGGAGGTAGTGATAAACTAATGCTAGGGGAAACATGGCAGGTAAGTTCTGCAGTGGATATGCATAAGGGTGGGGATAGTAGTCTAGATAGTGCAGAATAGATCCCCTAAAAGTAGTGGAACATTGGGAGACCAATAGTGCAAAGTAAAAAGATCCATTATACAAAAATATATTAATATCGTCTACTATAAGGGCACATTCAAAATGAATTGATGCAGAAATTCATTACAACTTAGCAGTCCATGAATTTCATGAGATTTTCCTACCAGTATGTTCTTTTATTGTGTACTTCCATAACAGCCAGCTCACAAATAAAATGGGTTCCGAAAGGGCTGTTAACAATTCTAAGAAACTAAATCTATCAAACTTTATTTGCTTATAAAACTAACAGCTGCTGCAGTTTCAGAGGGTTTTTTCCCCTTTCATGAAAGCTAATCTTACTGCCTTTAATGTTCTTAACTCTTTCTAGAATCCCACAACCCCTTTATCTGACTTCTCCTGCTGCGTTCCCACCAGCCCTGAAACCTGAGACAGAATGAGCTTTTGCCCAAGTCTCACTTGGGTTGCAGCAACTTCTCTATTAGAGGAAGTGAATGTTGCCCTTTTGTTTCTGTGGTAGAGTTGTGATAAAGCTGTGGTGGTGTTATCTCTCTTTTAGGTAGTGGCTCTTTATGACTACACAGCACATCGATCAGATGAGCTAACCATCCACTGCAGTGACATTATCCAAGTGTTGTACAAAGATAATGATAACTGGTGGTTTGGCAGCCTGGCGAATGGACAGCAAGGCTATTTTCCAGCCAATTATGTGGTTGAGGAAAGTATGTATAATGGTTTTGCCTAGTATGTGATACCTGTGGGGGCTTAAATCGATTATCTGAAACCTGCTATCCTATGGCTTAATGTATTGTAGTACATGTTACAAATAAGCAAAGTAGAATTAAATGTGTAAATAATCTGAAAATGAAATATATTGACCAAGAAACAAGAATACTCCACAGTGAGCTAGATACCACTGCCTTGTATTATTATTCATTCTAACTGAGGGACTGTTCTGAGTTCTTGCTGACTAAAATTGCTCGTTCAAAGCATGTGCCCCAGTGATTATTGGTTTTGTCTAAAAAGTGCAGACTGGATATATAATCTGCTTGTTTAAAAAAGAATCAGATCTCAAGCACCATCAGAAGAGGCATTGCTCTTTTTTCCCCCTTCCATAGCAGAAAATAATTGGACTCAGTGGCCCTCTGTGATACTCTGAAAACTGTACTTGCTCTGATGTATATTTGCTATCTAAAACCAAAACATTTTTTCTTTTATGCTGATTTATGTTAATTAAATCAATAGTTTAATTGTATAAATATTTTATATGATAATTAAATTAAAGCAATTTTATATGTGTTCTCATTGGTTGCATAATTTATTCTGTCTTTCTTAATCATGGGGAGGAGCACAAGATATGCAAGACTATGCAGAAAACTGTGCAGGAACTGTCTTCAACCACAAAAATGACTCCTTCTACAATATTTGAACATTTTATTTTTACCAAGTGTGAGCAAGCGAGTTGATCACAAGTGCAAAGAGCAATCTGTCTTGGTACAATCCATTTAGGTCTGCCCATGTCTTCCCTTGGAGAGCCCTTGTATCATTGAGAATTGTGCCCACTGAAGTTAGAACTAATTTCCACAGCAGAGGGCACCCTATGCAAAAGTCCACCTAAGAAATACCCATTTATAAATGTATAGTAAGTGACATTCATAAACATCATTTTTTAAAATATCTCATATGGAAGGTTTTGTAATAGAAGGGTGGTATATATCTGAGCACCTATAATAAGTCCACAGCCAAGAGCCAAGGCACTTGGTGACTCATTTTCACCATATTTTGCGGTTTCCCTTTCAAATATTACAGTATTGATCCTGGAGCTATGTATAGAAACATTTCATTCAGGAATCATCTCTTGGGAATACAAATAAATTGGTAGGTTTGAGTTATTGATAAATGTATATTAAGTAAAACATTTAAAAACATTCTGAAATAGACAGTGGAGGAACTAATTTGAAAATACTATGAATCAAATAACCATTTTAAGCGCTTGTATTTAATGAGTTATGGTTCCTTTTCAGCACAATATGAACAACAGCAATCTAAAGGATTAGCAGAAGAGTCTACTCTTCCATCCAGTGAATTTGTAAAAGTAACATCACCAGCTGTGCCTGAGGTAACTATTTGAGAGGAAGGCATGAACCATACCTCACAAGATGGATTGTATTTTCCATTTCTTGTGGTAACAAGTTAATTACCAAGTGCTTCTAGCATGTGTTAATTTTAATGTATGGACTTGCTTGGATTCAGCCATTCTCCAGGAATACAAGCCCAGAAGTTATTATGTTCACAAAGTACATTCCTTATATGTTGGAAAACCGTCTATATGATAGAAAGGGAAGAGCTGACATTTAACTGAGTTTAATTATCATTACAAATTATATGGCTTGTTTATTTAGTAAACATGCCCATAAAAGATAATATGAGGACTCAAATGGTTCATGCTTCTTCTTTTTTTAATAATATTTGGCCACAATTCAGACTACCATGCAGTTACTGCCTTCTCCATTGTGGGTTATAAGGAAGTTACTATGTGCAGTTAAAAGACCAAGAGTCTCTTATATTTGAAAAAAAAAATGACCAAACTTTCAGTAGTCTGTAGAACAGGAAAAGACATAATCTCATTAAAAAACAACAACAACTGGATTTTAATTTTAAGGGGCTACTTCTATAAAATCTAATAGCAGCTCAGTTTCTCTGACTGAAATGAGTAAAATGCACACACTCTCAAGTATAACTTTTTAAAAATGGCTATATCGCTCCAACCATTGTGATTTAACACAGCAGTAATTTTAGTTTAGCAAGCTGAATATCATAGTCTCTCTGAAATTGCCAATCAGCTGGTGAGGCTCAATCAAAATAGCTGTTGGGATTGAATGGAATTTAACCAATATAATTTTTAAAGAAGGAAATAAAAGCTGCCCCCAACAGACGGGAAGGGGCAGTTTCTGACCTGCATCCCTTCTCACTTGGCTTAAAAGGGAATCTGTTTTGGTGGCTTGGACTCTGCCTTCCTAAATGATTGGATGGCAGCGTCGTTGAATTAGGATGTGTTTGTTTCATTCTGCCCAGCTGCATACATCTGTTCCCATTGATTCCAAAATCTCTGGAATGGTGCAATATATATTTATTTTTAAAAGCTATTTTACCCCACTTTTCTGTCCCTACGTATCTCCCCAGGTGCTGTCATCAGTTAAAATTAAAGTACCCAAAATAAAATGACAGTGTATAGTCACACACATACTATAGTAGTAGTAGTAATTTTATTTATTGTTCTGACCCCTAGATTATGATATAGTACAGTAGTAGTAGTACTAAATTTATTTATTATGTACTTATAACTTCACATACAAGTAACAGTTAAAAATTAAATCTTTTATGCTAGATGAAGCTTAGTTTACTGGAACAATCTCAGTGAACAACAGTAAGTAGAATGGAAAAAAAGATCAAGGTGTATGTGTGTTAAAAGATTTTGCATTAATTAACAATCCCACATGAACCCCTTCAAAACTATACTAAAGAATGCATGTAGTTGGTAATGTCATATGTTATTTGAATTCCATACTTTCAATAAAATGTGCAGTGTTTAATTTATTAGTTAGGCTGAATTGTTAACCTGGCTAACTATGAATATAGAAGTGAAATATTATGGTCATAATCCATAATGCCCTCCCATATGTTAGCTTAAGGACATTTTGAAACCTGGAGGAGTTTATGAAACCTGGAGGAGTTTATGAAGCAGTTGAGAATATCACATGAGAAGCTGCTATTTAAGAAAAACACCCAAATTCAAAAGTCCCTTGGGTGCACCTAAAGGAGCACGCTCTGGATTGTTAATGAAGTATAAGACGAGAGTGTTTTGGAAAATAACATTTTTTATATATAGCGTGGGTGGCTGTTTTGCCATTTCTTTCTGGAATCCCTTTCATGTTACATGATAAAACCTTTTGTTCTTACCAGGAGATGGAGAGAATGATCTTATCTCAGAAATGCAAACTAAATGTCAAAAATATTCACGGCAGTTGTCTCTTACTATGATTCTTTCCTTGTCATTATATGAACCAAGATCTCTTAAGCCCAGCACTAGATTCATTGAACTATAGTTGTTTATTTTCTTCCAAATAAACTAACAGAATGAAATAATTTAAAACTCTGAATTTTTTCTCCACCAGGTATCCAGAGAAGAGCTATTGTGTTAGAGCATTTATTTTCTGCCTTTCTAATAAATATTAACGAAAGACTAGTATATCCAGAAAGCTCTCTAAAGAGGAATTTTAAAAAGCCTAAGTGGCATTAATTAATAAAATGAATTAGGGAACAGTCCTTCCCACAAAGGTGGCTGAAGGGTGATAAAATGGATGCCAGCGGCAAAAGGAGAGGCCTGCCAAGAGATTGCCACTCATTCTTCAGAGGCTTCCAAAACACGGTGGAAAGTTATGTAAATATTTATGGATTGCAAGCAGTATTCCTACCAGTAACAGGGTCCAAAGTGGGATTCTGTGAATATTCCAGTAGCCTTATATCAAGGCTAATATCTCCACAGTTTTATCCAATTCAAATTATAATCTAATCTGCCTTGAAGATGACACTGTTCCTTTTCCGTTATAATTAATGGGATATTTAAAAAGCACAACAGAGTACCAGTATAAAAACAAAAGGAATGGGGACTTTGGATATAAAAAACTGGCAGAGCTATTGATGCAATACATGGCTGACCACAATTCTCACCATTTCCATGGGTGTGTAGGGTTATTCTATTAAAAACCATCTAAATGGTCCTGACTAAATTCAAGCAGTGATGGGGGCAAGTGGATCCATTCTAGATCTTGGGTGCCACTGCTGAAAATGCCTTGTCTTGGGTACCAGTTTTTGACAACTGGAGACTTGAAGCTGAGCCTCATGGAATAAACAACATTGGCAAATAAACTTATATAGACAAATAACCCTTGAAATAGGATGGTCTTAGCTAGGGCTAGTTTTGTTGCTGTTTGTGAGGGAGGGGCTTGACTCCTGGCACCTACATGAATAAGTCGATGCAGTTTTCTTCACATTTTTCAGAAGTGGTTTGCCAACACCTTTTTTGGCTGAGAGTGACTGGCTCAGAGTCACTCAGTTGGCTTCCATGCCTAAGGCAAGACTAGAACTCACTATCTCCCAGCTTCTAATCTAGCACCTTTAACCACTAAACCAAACTGGCCCTCATTAGGAAGATCTATACAGGTAGTCCTTACTTAATGTTCACAGTTGGGACTGGAAACTCCATCGCTAAGCAACACGGTTGTTAACCACAGTGTCACATGACCATGCTGCTTAGCAATGGCAGTTTTGGCACCCCCAGCTGCGGTAATTAAGCAAGGACCACATGGGTTGTTAAGCAAGGACCTCGTGATCGTGACTTCCAACTTCCTGCTGGCTTCCCCATTGACTTTGCTTGTGGGAAGCTGGCAGGGCAGGTCACAAATCACGATCACATGACTGTGGGACACTGTGACATAATTGCAGGCCAATCACCGAGCGCCCAAACTGTGATCATGTGACATTGGAGGCGCTGCAACAGTCGCAACTACAAGGACTGTAAATTTGAATGGTTGCTGAATGAGTGATTGTTAAATGAGGGCTACCTGTATAGCTTCATATATAGCTGTGGAGAATAGGTCAGTAATGATTCATAACTGATCTTCAGTGCAAAGTACAGTACTACGTATGTTTAAGTGCTGAACTATTCTTATCACAGTCTGACTTTTCATTGTAAAAAAAGCCAAGACAATGGAATTGGTAGTTGATTCATGGCAATTAGCATCTTTTGTCACTTCTGACTATATATTTATGTGCCTAAAAAGGGCACTGCACGTGATATTTTAAATAGTCAATACTAGCAAATATAACTTTTAACTCGTACAACTGTTCCCTCAAAAATACTGACAAGTTCAATTGTTTCCTTGTATTTTCAAATAGTATTGGTAGTCTCTATTTAAGTCTCATCCAAGCTTAGATTAATAATTTTGAGGGTGATTTTTTTTTTTCTAAGCACACCTGAACATTTCAAAGGATTTTAAAGCTGAGGACTGTTTCCTCGTTTTAAACCACATATTATGAGAATTTCATGGGTGACAGATCTTACATATAAAATGAGGTATATTCTCTCCTCATTCAGGAAGCCCGTGGGTTTGTCATCACACACGTGTTGACTCTATTTTCTCCCCCCTCCCCCTTCTCTACTGATTAAAGTTTTCCTCTTGCAGATGCTAGCAGACATCAGCAAGTTGGGAGACCAAAGATTTATTTCACTGAATGACACAGACTACCTGGCTGCACAGTAAGGCACCAGTTGTACAACATAGATTGTTAAATTGCTTGGAAGAAGCTGAAAATCATGGTGTTTATCATTGCAGTCATCCATAAATAATGGACTAAATTGGTATAAATTATCTCCAAAAGGGTTTGGAGAAATTGCTGAGGAAATATAAAACTGCAATCAATGTGTTGTATTACAATAGATGTTTGTATTCCAAAGATATTACAATAAGGTACATTGTCTCATGGCACCATGATTGCTAAAAAGCTATGATTCTGTTTTTCCTTTCTTTTGTTGGCTCCTAATGGATCTAGCTATTTTGTTAGATGCATTAGTTAGAAAATAGTCTATGGCATGTAATTGCAAGACCAGGCTAATATTTTATATAGGATCAATGTTATGAATTGAAGCCAAGAGAAAGTAAAACAAAACAGTCAGTAATCCAGGCAGGATAATATATCCATTTGCTTTACTGAAAAGTGGAAGAATATGTACAGTAAATGGGACTTATAGGTATATACATTTCTCATCTTGCCCAAGTTATAAATGCTTTTCTAGAGGTACTCACTAATGCCCTGTTTTCCAAGCTTTTTTCTTTTTATCCATCATATAGTAATGCTGGGAAAACAATGGGCTGCATATCATAATCACTGCACAAACAAACAAGGTTAAATTATCTCTGGGTAGTCTATTGTGGGGAATTTGGTAAGCAATCCAGAACTACATATGAAAATACCAATTTGTTTCTATCAGATGTTCTTTCAGAGAGCAGAAACTGATAAAGGGCCTCAATTTTCTATAAAGATCATGTCAGCTTTAGGCACATGTTTTTCTGCTTTTGTTTTGGTGTGTTCCAGCATCAGAAGATCAATCTTAAGTATGTGTATGAATGGAACAGGTCAGTAATTGGATAAGGAATCCAGTTTAAACGCTTGGGACTTTAAAATCTCCAACTGCATCTTTTATCCTATATTTCTTACAGAATTACATGTGGGCAAACAAAGAAGGGCATGGATACAGAGGAAAAAGAATATAAGGCAAATGACAGCATTCCATTCAATGGTGTTGAGGATGAGCCTAAGAAAAACAGGAAGAAAAGGAAGAAAGGGATAGTGAAAACTACTAGTAGAAATGGAACATCAGATGATGGCTTCCAGCTAGACTATTCAAAAGTATAGTGTCCGTTATGTTCGTGGCTGTTAGTTTCACGGCTTAAAAGTACATGGAAAATTATGGAATTACTGCTTGTTGTGAAATAATGATCATATATTTGAAAACTTGGAATATTGTAGGTAAATCTATACCTCTAAACCAATTGAGATTTATCATGATGTCGGGAGGCCAAGGAACCAAGGGGAAGAACGTATATTGAAAGTTCCAGTAAAATTTAACATGAGTTAAAATCTTAACAGTGACTCGGGGTTTTTTATTTATATAAATATATATGTATATATCTTCATATTCCCAGTAGAAGTATTTGGATATACTCTGCTATCCAAAGAAATGAGATATCAAGAATTTTATTGAAGCTCTTCAACTCACTGAAACAAAGCAGTCTAGTTTACTAAAAATTGAAGAATACCATTATGGGTAAAGACAGTAGACATCAGCTTAAAGTTTATTATAGTCTATGAATAAAAACCAACCAGCTTAACTGGGACAGAAACACTATATTCTGGAAAGTCTTATTTTGATGTACTGTGCATAAAAGAATGCAAAGTTAAATGCTTGTGATTGTGCTGAAGGAATTTCAACTTAAAAATATAAGCTCAATGGATGATTTTATTGTTCCTGCTACATAGGATTGGTCACTGCAACAACTTCTCATACTGAAATGGTTTTGAAGAAGAGAATGAATTTCAAAAAAACTATATGATAAAAGAGTATGTATCACCACCAAGAGTTGGAAGCTATAGCTTTTTGTATGTTAACTTTAAAATAAAAGCTTTTCATATTTTTTTTTAATGTTAACGAATTTACAAAATTCATTTTGTAAAGGCAGTTTTTTTCTGCCTTTAAAGCACCATTGCCCATTTTTTCTACTGTTTAGAAGAATAATTTGACATCTGTATATGAGTGAGATATGTTTTTATGCAGAACATGTTTATGTTCAGGTGTAACTGTTTTCAAATTAAAAAGCATTAAGTTGTGAATGGTGTATTAGTGATGATTTCCGGTAACTTTATTTATGATTCTCTTGTGTATATATGTTGACTACCGATGCCCACATTATTTATACCATGTTAGGAAATTCTGCCCTCTTCCTTTCTGAAGCAATAAATAACATAAAATTAGAAACTCCTTTTTTTAGTAGTCATGGCATTTGATTCCATTAAAAAAAAAAGAAGTGAGAATAACCAAGTTGACCACCGATGTGCAAAATAACACCCAGATGCACAGTATTAAATTTCAAATATTATACAATCATCCCACATGTTGAGTAGGCATACAGCATAAAAATATTGAATATATATTTACCTGAAATGAAGAAAACCCTGAATTTTAAACAATCCTCACTCCAAAAAATAAGAATAGACAGGAAAAAAAAATAGAAAACAGGCATCAGTCTCATGCAATGCCCACTTTCTCCCTTTTGTCTGTCTGTCTGAGATTGCCAGCTCCACCTGAAATTAATTCTGGAGAATCTTCATCCTTCACCAGTAAATGTATGCATATAACAGAATTGTAAATGAATGTACATACCTTATGTACGTATATAGGTTTTTGAATATACCTGCCAAAAACCATACTAAAAAAAAGGCATCAGGGCTAGAATATGTATAAATGTACTGTATATTGAATATTACATGAATGTGCATTAATTGAATTGAAAGCAGCCAAATAAAAATGTCTGTAAATTTAAGTTCCCCACTGAAAAATAATTGAACCCATCTGCATATACCATCAATTCTCATACACAAACTATTCTTGTACACAGAAACACACTGCACACAACTGCATATCCTCCCTCCCTCCCGCAGTTAAAGAAAAAAAATGAGGTATGGGGAAGAGGTAAGTTGTCAAGGAAGGAAGGAAAAGGGAGAGAACCCCAGTTTAAATGACAAAAAGGGTTAAATTCACCAGCAAGACAGCCCTTCCAAGCATCGGCTAATAGTCTTTCTTTCAAAACTCATTCTAATTTCTTTGCTTTCAAAAGCAAACTTTAGATGACCCCCTTCAGTTCACTCACTATCAGTAGCTCCCTATCAGATAAAATAGGGTGTTTTTTTTTTAACAAATACATATTTAATTTGTACAAGAAGATAATAGACCAGTCTGGATATAACCTCAGCATGAAGAATGTGGTGTTCTGTTTCATCAGGCTAGGAGGTAGATAATGAGCCAAAACTTCTCTTTCTAGAACAGCAGAATCACTTAACAGTGTTATTGGTCCATAATGTTCATGTCATAGGATGGAAATAAAAGAACTATAGAAATGATGAGCGTATTACCTTTTCAGGAGCGCTCTACCTAAAGATCTAGAAGAGCATGGGGGATAATATAAAACATAGACCTTATGAGTGAAAGATTACAAAGCGGAGTAGTACAATCTCCTGGTCCTAGTTTCTTGGAACAATAGATCAAAAATACCATAAAAGAGAGCCTACTAATCCTGTTGACATCTTTTCTTTCGATATCACCAC